CTAGCTTCTCCACTGGCAAAAGAGGCTGGGACACACATGTCTCAGGGGTTGCCATAACCTTACAAGAGACCGTTGAGAAATGGGGCTATGAGGATGCCTGGCCCCTTTCCTGTTGCCCATTACATAAATTCCTGCAGGATTGGCAGGTCCATTCCTGTCTGTCTGGTCCCCAGCTAGCTGCACACTGAGAAGCCGGAGCCTGCTTTGTCCACAGCCGCAGACACCTTCTACCAAAGGCTAGCAGAAGAACTACAGCCACAACAAGAACCAAGGATGGCCAGGCCAAGGGCACCGCCAGCACCCCATGTGGTATAGCCTAGGAGTGGGAGGGAGGTAGAGGTTAGGGGAGCAGGGTCTAAGCCCTGAGGACAAGTATCTGAAAGTTACAGCCCACTGATTGCCGAGTGTCCCAGATCCCAAAGCCAGAACTGGGGAGAGGGTCCATTTTACAAGTGGTCAAGGTGAGGCCCAGAGATCCGGACAGGGGCTTCTTAAGGAGCCTAGGAAAGCATCCACCCAGGCATTCTCCTGAGGTCCTGACCCAAGGAAGGCCAAGGTCAGCCCCACCCCCAGGTGCTCTGTTGGACCAAACACATGAATTTGAGCACAGGCACTGAAGGGGACATGCGCTCTGCAATCCACTGTTGTCTCTGGGCTGCCAGCCCCACTCACTTATCTGTCCTCATTAGCATCCGTGTGTGCCATCCCTGGCAAACAGGATCTCATGGAATTTTCACCATCAGTCTGGGATATGGTTACCCAGCTTGATAGGACGTGCAACAAAGGACAAGACAGGAGCTTGACAAGATCAGACAGTAAGGTGTTGGCAGTGCGGGTCCTTTCAAACTGGCGCAACAACTGGATTGGGCCTGGCACAAGTGGGGTGGGGAGGTTCCTTAGGGGAAAACGTGGCGGCTGTGGGATCTGGCAGCAGACCCCCTGGGTTCACATCCTAACTTCGGCAACATGCCACCCCCCCACTACCGGGGGACCACCCCTACCCCCACAAGCCCTGGCCTGGGACAGCTGTCCCTTTAAGGCTCTGGTGGGCGGGTCCAGCCGTTTCCATGGAGCTCTCTGAGCTCTTTCTCGGCTTCCAAATTCATGGCCCAAACAGGAAGTGAGTCACAGCAGGAGAATGCAGGGCTCCCGGCCTTAGGGAGACATTCAAGGGCAACCACAGGTTCCCCAGTGGGGGTCGGGCCTTCGTGGGGTGCTTGGGAAGTGCGACAAGATTTCGGCATCTGCTTGCATCGCTGGCTGGCGCACAAGTGACAAAAGGTCTCTGAGTTCATCAAAGTTGACTGGGGTCAGGCAGGAGGTCCCAGAGCTGTCTCTTTCGGTCACTAGCCAGAACCCCAACACCAGGGTTTGTGGAACCCATACCAAGAGCACGCAAAAGGATTTATAGATGTTCACAACACTGCAAGGCGGTCACCTTTGTCATCTCTACTTTCCAGGAGAGCAAACTGAGGCTCAAGTTAAGGAACCTGCCCCACACTCCCCAGTCCTTGTGAATTTAAACCCAGTGCCTCCTACAGGACGGGGCGGGAGGGCAGGGGGTACAGATCTGGATTAGGATCCTGGCTTGGCCACTCCCTGACCCTTTCGGCGTAGAGGCCCTCATCCTTCCAACCACTACATACTGTCTGCTCCTGTGAGGGGGGGAGGGACAGGCTCAAGTGAACGCACACAGCCTCCAGGGAAGGCAGGTAGACGCCAAACAAAAGCAGACATGATGAGAAACAAGGAGCACAGAGAACAGTGCAGGAGCGGAGGGTCAGAAGGGCTCTCCCAGGAGGGGACACAGAAGATGAACAGAAAAGAAGGGGACAGACAGGGGCGCCTGGGTGGCTCAGTGGGTTAAAGCCTCTGCCTTCGGCTCAGGTCATGATCCCAGAGTCCTGGGATCGAGCCCCACGTCGGGCTCTCTGCTCAGCGGGGAGCCTGCTTCTCCCTCTACCTCTGCCTGCCTCTCTGCCTACTTGTGATCTCTGTCAAATAAATAACTAAAATCTTAAAAAAATAAGGGGATAGACAGCCTTTTCAAAAAGTGGGCAGAAGGGCAGCTCGGGGGCTGACGTAAATCAGAGAACTGTATCTGATAGAGCCCCTGAATCGAGTAAATTTTAAAAGGAGGGAGAGGCCTCTACGGGAGAAGGTTCCAGTGGGGTGGACACTGGGCCCTGCCAGGTCACACCCAGGACGGGAAATCCTTGCTGCTGGTACCCACTGAGAACACCAGCAGGAATGCCAGGGCCTGTGGCCCAAACTTGGTCCCTCCTCCCTGGCCTCAGAAATGGCCAGTCAGCACCCTGGAAACAACTGACCGCCTCCCCGCCCCCCTCCTGTCTCTTTGGGGCCTCCCAGCCTCCCGGGCTAGGAGCCGTGCAGGACTGCAGTCACTGGTCTGGTGACCCCGCAGGCCAGTTACCCGTGCCGGGAACATCTGGCAGCGCTCTGGCTTCCACCGCTGGAGTGAAACCCACGTGGTAGATGGAGGGAGGCAGCCCTGCCTGGGAGCTAACTTAACATGGGATTTCTTTGGGCTGTCAGGTCCCAGGCAGCTCCTCAGGAGCCCACCTGCTCCTGTGTTGAGGTCGAGGTCGAGGTCAAGGCCATGGCCACAGTTCCTGCCCTTGGGCGGTAGGTCCGGACCGAACCTGGGAGGGTCACCTAAACAGTTCCTTATGACACTTGCTGCACCTAACCTGTCCGCTGACCTCAGTGCACCCCACTCCTCCCCCAGAGTGCTCTCCCCTCGCTGGGGACAGCTTCCAGCCCACCACTTACCAGCCTTGAGAGATGGCTTCCCCTCCCCCGTGGAGAACGGAGAGCACACTCATTGCCACAGTGCCGGGGACCCTCCCATTTTAGGCATTATCTCAGTTCATCCTCACAACCCTCTTTACAGATGGGGAAACTGAGGCGGGGGGGGGGGCTCACGAACTAGCCAAGACGGGTGACACAGTAAGCATGAGGCTCCAGGCCCCGAATGGGTCAGCGGCCACAAAGCCAGTCACCGAAGCCTCAGCTCTTGACCTGGGAAATGGGGAGAAGGGTGATGTTCCCCGAGCAACAGTCAGGGCACGACGTCAGGGAACACCTGCACGGGCTGGAAAGAGGTACCGAGTGCGGTCTGGGGCGTCTCAGAGCCCTTCCGTATACTGTTTTTCAGGTATACATATACACAGGCACACAGAGAGCCACGTTTTATAAAAGAAAAGGCAGGGAGACTTGGGGTGTGGTGGGCGCACCCTACCCGGCGATCCTGGGGCAGGGACTGGCCCCTGGGACCCCAGGGACCCCAGCTCCCCACTCTACTGCAGGCCACACGCGGGCACCCAGAAAGCCACTCAGGAGAGGAAGACTCCTCACCTGGGATCTTCCTGTGTGATCTCCCCCCACATGCACTATCAATGTCCTCTTTAAAATGTAAACAGACGTAACCAGGTGGCAGGACTTAGGATCCATTTTTGTGTTCTTCTACAGATACCCTGTCCCTACTCCCAACCCCGGCATTGGCATATGTGGGTGGAGAGCCCAGGAATCTGTATTAAACCCCTCCCGAGGTGACCTATTCCCAAGCAGGTGCAGGAGAGGTGTCCTGGGGGCACACCTGCTGGGTCACTCCTGGTGAGCCGTGATTCACCACACCCTGAAGGCTTGTGGGTGCAAACTTCCCCCTGCCAAGCCCAGGAAAGCACCCTGCCCCGGAGGAACCCGCTCAAGGCCAGACTTCCTCCAAGCCTGCAGGACTGAAGGTGGATGGGCAGGCAGCGCCCGAGGGGAGGGCCAGAGTGCTCTGACGGCGCCAGCTGCCCTCAGCCTCAGGGATGGCAGAGTCCAATGCCACTGGCCACCTGCCCAGGAAACAGTCTGGAAAGGGCCAAAGCAACATTCCCTTCTACATTTTCTGCAGGACGCGCCTAGGTGCTTTACACAGGGATCCTCAGCTGGAGGAGCTTAGAAAATGCTGGCGCCTGCGGCCCACCCCAGGGAGAACCACCTTGCTTGCCTGAGCATGGCTGACTGACATGCAGGCAGCCTGAGAACCGTGCAATCTGAGGGAAGAGAGGAAACGGGGGGACACAGAGGCTGCAGGCTCATGGAGAACCCCGGGGCAATCCCTCCTAGACTCTGACGAGGGGCAGAGGATGGCGACACTTGGCGGCTAACAGGCGTGTGCTCACCAGCTGCCACGGGAGGCACCTTCCCTCCCCCCCGCCCCCCCAGACCCATGGCGGGGCCGCCTCCACCTCACAGACCCCCAGGGTCGAGCTCTTCACCACCACACCCTGCTCCTCGACACACTGTGAAAGCCCAAGAGGAGAAATGAGGGACTTTTCATGAAAACCTAGGAAATTTCAAGCCACCTTTTACGCACTCGTTCCTTCAAGAACTGTCCAGGTACCCACTCTGTGCCAGGCACAGATGCCCAGGGAGCCTGGGTTTCCGATCTGGTGGTGAAATCGATGTCGCGGGACCACAAACAGCAATCTCTCTCGTGAGCAGCAAGAGACCGGAGTGGCGAGCAGACACGGAGGGAGGAACTGCTCAGCTCTTAGTACAGTGAGTGCGCGTTTATCTCCGCACTCGGTCTCGGGGGCCACAGGTCATTCTTACTGTGGCTCGCAGCCCAGCACAACTGACAAACACTGAGATGGGCAAGAGTCAAGCCTTAATATGCCAGATCCAAGTGTACACAAACACGATGCCCTGTGTTCAGGTTCCCCTGAGCCTCAAACAGTACATCACAACTTCCTGGTAGTTACCAATTTCTAGATTCACCTTGAAACCATCCCTGCCACGGTGGTTACAAGACTGGCTTTTGGGGAGAGCTGGGGGAAGCCATCAACCTCCTCCCCCGGCACCCAGGGACCACTGGTAGGGGCTCCCCTGTCCCCCGAAGGTATCTCAGTGCTGGCATCCATACCCCTAAGGAGCTATCAACGGTCTAAGACTCTCCTCTCAAATCTCAAAGCTAGCGTGGCACATACCTTGGTGGGTTTCTGGAGGACATCAGGGTGAGGCGTCCACTGGCCCAGGTGGCTGAGAGCAGCCCAGAGAACTGGCGGCGGGCTGCCCCGAGGACCGGAGCCTTCTTTCTCCGTCAGCTGCGGGACTGCTCTCAGCCTGCTGAGCCTGCCACTGCGGAAGCTGGATCCAACCTAAGTCTCCTTTAAGCTCTAAGAGGCAGGTCTGTACGTGATCGGGAGCCCTAAACACTGCTGGCAGCTCACAGTGGCACAACCCCAACCTAAAACAAAGGAAAGCCACAGCCCTCACCAACAGGTACACTCGTGGTGTGCCAGAGGTCTGCACCAAAAGCCTTTGCAAAGCAAACACCCCCTCAACCTGGGTTCAAAGGATGTGCTGCGGGCCCCCCTCCCGCCACCCGAGGATTCAGACCCAGTGAGGCGAGGCCTCCTGTACTTGCCGGCCTGTGGCATCTCCTAGGGTAGGCACTCAAGTCTGTCTGAAAATAGGGTCACGCTCACATGTGGACAACTTCTGCCTTGAAAACTAACCACCTCACCGCACAAAAGTTTCACTGTGTGCTTAATACCGATCCTTCTGGCTTTAAACTGTACTGGGACACGGTGCAATCAGTCCTTTTCCAACACCGGAGACTCGAAGCTCATCTCCCACAATGACTTATGTCCCCCCGCCAAGCGTATTACCCCACACTAATTCATAAATAACCATCAATCAACCTGCATATTTTCTAATGGCTGTATACATGAAAGATAATTATTAGGAGGGTTGCTCTTCAAAACTATTCAATTTTGGGGCACCTGGGTGGCTCAGTGGGTTAAGCCTCTGCCTTTGGCTCCGGTCATCTCAGGGTGCTGGGATCGAGCCCCATTTCGGGCTCACTGTTCAGCGGGGACCCTGCTCCCCCCCTCCGCCTGCCCCCCCAACCCCCGCCTGCCTCTCTGCCTACTTGTGATCTCTCCCAAATAAATTAAATAAATAAATAAATAAATAAAATCTTAAAAAAAAAAAAAACCAAACCATTAAGTTTTTACCTTTGAGGAGGACAAATTACACAGGCCTTCATATTAATGTCTAACTTTTTTTTTTTAAAGATTTTATTTATTTATTTGACCGGCAGAGATCACAAGTAGGCAGAGGCAGGCAGAGGCAGGCAGAGAGAGAGGAGGAAGCAGGCTCCCTGCCGAGCAGAGCGCCTGATGCCGGGCTTGATCCAGGACCCTGGGATCATGACCTGAGCAGAAGGCAGAGGCTTTTAACCCACTGAGCCACCCAGGTGCCCCTAATGTCTAATATTTAAATTACAAAAATGCATGTGTGTTAGTTTTTCTTAATGTGCCGTTGCAAAAATTATCAGCCACATCCCAGAGCGCTTCAAGGGCTCCCCTGACAGGGAGGCAGACTACAGATGTAGATGTAAATGCCCCCAAGGAATTCAGGTCATTGAGATTCGCATCCTTTTTTTTCCAATATACCTACTTCACAGACGATAAAACCGGCCCAGGGAGGCAAACTTACCCAGGTCCTCACACCCAGTTAAGTGGTGGAGTCAGCATTCAAATCCACAGGATTTCGAGCAAAGATTCTTCCTTCAGACAAGGGGGCAAAAAGCAAATGAAAATGGTAAGATCACCCTGCCTGCAATGGTACAGATTCCCGACACTGGCTCAGAAGTAGGGAGAACCCTGGGGATGCTTTCATTAACTGGTACTTTGCAGAAGGTCCTTTGGTTGGACCCATGAATAATTTAGTTTAATATTTTAAATATGAATTCCTTTGAACAGACCACTTTTACCTGCAGAAACGGAGCCCACAGAAATGTAAAGAAACTGTATACCACGTTCACTACTGCACCACTGCTAATTACGAGAAGCTAAAGGCCCATCCATACAAGGGAGGGCCATCCAGTCCTAAAGTACAGCATATATATTCTGATGCGGAAAAGATACAGCTGTGTGGCCAGATTTCGGGGAATTTTCAGTGTTTCTTCAAGGCATTAATGCCATACAAACGCAACAGAGAGGTCCTCGGGAACACAGAAGAGCATCAGTGAGACTTCCCAAGTTTTCCCCAAGGACCACCCGATCCATGTTGCACCCTCCAAACCCATCGGGTGTCCTACCTAGGCTGCCATCTGCCGAACTTCACAGAGAACGAGCTGGTGTGTGGCAGGAAGTTAAACCCTGGATCTCAGCGTGTCACATGCATCAGTGCAAACACAGAGTGAGAGGACGGCCAGCCTCGGGGTGCGGGCCTGCTGCTCGCCCAGATGTCGAACGGCACACCCCGCAGGAACACTGCAGTGAGGAGTCTGCGCGCTGGCCGTGGTGGGGTCAGGTCACCTAACACAGTGGTAACAGCTTTCAGGGAGGGGGAGCAGGTACTGCGGACATCTGACCACAACAACCGCCTTTAACTAAATTAAACGGATGAACCTTCGGTTTCTTGTGGCTTTAGAAATAAACAACGCCTTCTCTGTCAGAATCTTTCAAGTCACCTCCCCAACCCCATAGAGTCCAGAATGTATCTCTGAAGACCCCCCCCCCCCCTGTAAGTAGACACACGTAGGTCGTGTATCTCAGGAAGCAGCAGGCTCTAACAAGCACTACGGAATCAAAGGCAATGGGTGAGGTCAATATAGTCACCGTGCCCCTCAAAAAATCATGCTGGGGGCACCTGGGTGGCTCAGTCGTTAGGCATCTGCCTTCGGCTCAGGTCAGGGCCCTGGGGTCAAGCCCCACATCGGGCCCTCTGCTGCTCAGGAAGCCTGCTTCTCCCTCTCCCAGTCCCCTGCTTGTGTTCCCTCTCTGGCTATCTCTGTCAAATAAATAAATAAAATCTTACCCCAAAAAATCATGCCAAAAAATTAATGATTCACTCAGAATACTCTTCCTAAAAGTAACTCTGCAGCCCGTGTTCCCAACTAGGTCCCCAGCTCCCTTCACTTCCAAACCCTCCCATGGCGTCCTGGCACCTTCCCTGCGCTGGGGTTGTCTCCCCCTCTCTCAGGCCTTGGCCACCCCCTCGGACTCACACAAGCAGCAGCCAGCCCCACTTTCACGACTGGAGGGAACCCCTACGGCCCAGAGACACAGTTTGGCAAGTTTAATGTGTTCCAATAGCCTGGGGCGGAGGGGGTGATGGGGGGCGGGTGCGGAAAAAATTCAGAGGGCTGGTTCTTTTCTAAAAGTCTGGACTTGATTACATCAAAAAAGTTCATTCAGATGTGATGACCAAAACAAAACTGCAGACAAGCCCCGTAGTTTCTCGGTTTTTTAAAATTATTTATTCATTTGAATGATTTAAGGTGTGTACCACTACTCCAGTTGGGTAAAACCACATTGAAGAATTTGACTGCAGGTCTTTAAATTCAGCCAAATGCTTTCCATTAACTTTGCTCTATAAAATACTAAACATTATAATTAAGTTTTTAATGCTTCAGCCATGCTCAGAACACTGCAGTATAAGGATGAGCTCAACCCACTCATGCCAAGTCAGGGTGACGGGGACAGACCTAACGAGCCATGATGTCTAATAAAAGAATCCGAGAATCTAGCTTAAAAGATAAAGGGGGGTTCTGTTCCCCCCAAAGTAAACTGTTAAGTTTTAAGATTCAGCCTATACTGCTCTCAAGAGACCGGGGGGCAGGGGGGAAGGAATCAATGTTATTAAAAAAAAAAGTACCACACAATACGCAATCTTCCATGATTTGTTTGCATCTAAAATGGCACAATCAAAGCCTTCAAAAATCTAGCAGTCAGAACTAAGTCTTCCTATGAGAAGAAATCACTTTCCTTTCTACTCCTAGATCTTAGGGTTATCTTGTGCTCAGGGGGGCGCGGGAGAGATCAATGAGACAGAGCAGGCAAACGGGTTACGGTGAGGTTGACAAACAGCATTTGAGATTAAATGCAGTGGAAAAAAGTAACGAGTGCTAAAGTTTTTAAAAAGTTTAATGGAGCCAATAAGGCATATAAATCGTGTTCTGGCAGACATAAGACCTGCTTTCTCTTACCAAAGAAAATGGCACATGTTTTATCAAAATTTGACAATCAAGAGTAAAGGGTACTGAGATTAAGCGTCAGAGCACCAACTAAAACAAAAACAACAAAAAATTTTTTAAAAAATAGTTTTTCAACTCGGAGGGAGGAACTAGAACCAAGGCATAAGGGGGAGGTTTTACAGCTGTTTCTCAATCTCAAAATCCTTTAGGAAGAGGAGTTCCGGCCACTTGTGGGCAACGCTTCACACCACCAAACGCCAATTCCAGAGTCTAAATTGGCAACGATAGAAAAACAAAGGTAACTCCAAATGTGTTTCTGGGCATATTCCAAAGGGAAGCTTAAAAGTATTCATAATACACAGGCTTGTCTGTTTCACGTAAAATGACAGATTGCTGTAATTCTTCCTGCTATTATATTCAAACAAAAACGATCCACTTTTGCAAAAATTTGGAAACACCGCACTTTCGTTCCTAGTTTTAGTACGGAATTGACTTTTTTTTTTTTTTAAATAAGGGCTAAATCTATAATGAGTACAGAACTTCAGCTCACACATTCCATTCACCTCCCACCCAGTCAATGAATATTATGGTTAACTCAGCGAAGTTTCTTCACAGAAAGATTATTATTAAATGGCTGAAGGAATTGCAAACTTTAACAAAGTGCTGTGAGTAATTACTGGAAAAAACCCTTACACTGATCTGCAATGGTCTTTTCAGGATAAAAACAGGAAGTTAACTGATACTGGACTACAAGTTTGCAAGGAAACATTTTCACTGTCCTACTTGATATATAATATAATAATATGATAGAATAAATTACAGTACCTGGCAGGCTGACATCAGTTCTTCATCTAAAAAAGACTATCATTCAGTTCAAGATATTAAAAATGAAGAGGAAACAATCAAACATGCTCTAAAACATTGTGGCTACAAGAGGTCTTATAGGGACAGAGGATCTACTCGGAACCTTTATTTAGGTCTACCTAACATCTAGAGAGCCTCCATGCGATTCCATCTCTTCCAGAATGAGATTCCAAACTGCACTTGTTAGGGGAGAGGGACTGGAGACAGCTACTTAAGTTCTGACCACATTATTAGCAGATAAAAGACCTTTATCTTCCACCATTCCAGTGGAAACTGCACACAAAGTAGGGCATTCATGAAAAATGTACTACAGGACATAAGAGACTGGAATACCTACCCTCCCCCACCATCCATCTCCCTCTCGCTAACACTGAACCCAAAAGGAAGCCCATCCTCCAATTTCATGACCTCTCTACTTCAGGTCCCCCTTGAATGCAGTCTATGTGTTTACATTTACCATAAGGAACAGTACCCTGCATGGGAAGTAGTACTCGTCTTAGAACGGGAGTATTTTAAGCCTACGGGGTCAGTCTGGGGGCAATTTAATAGTATTGCTACTTTTAGAGCGCTAACACACACAAAGTGAATCCGTTAAAGTTCTGTGTATTGATTCAATATTAAGTATTAATTGCATGACCATCATAGCACCTCTTTACATCACACAATCACCAGAATTAGAAACTGCTTAGAAAACGAAAAACAGGGCATAGTCCAATCATCAGAGGTCGCACGCTGTGACTTGAGAGCCCAGGTGCATGACAGAGTGCTGCACACACAAAAATAAAAATAATAAAAAATAATTTTTTAAAAAATGGAAGCCTGCAGATTTGACGAGGAAGCCAAATCGTGGGTTTGAGATAATTTTAGGAACCTGGCAATACTGTTGAAGCAAAATACTCAACACAGCAGGAAATGGACCAAGGAGTGGCGGGGGGGGCAGGAGCATTCTATAACCAAATAAACATCTGATATTTCCTTTCCCTTTGAGAATAAATACAGTTAAGGTCACTTTTAGCCTTGGAACGGATATATGTTTGCCTATGATGATCTTGCTAATGACTACACGATATCTGATGTCCTCTGCTAGGATTATAGTTTAAAGAAAGCCATAGTTACAAGAGGCATCTACTGTAAATACCTAGAACTTCCTTTTATGGCAACCACTATAGAATTCACTTGTCTTAAACAGTGAACAAGGGAAGATGGCCTCATGTTTCCTTTGCAATAATAGTATATGTTGAGGATCAAGTGGCTTTCAAGCAGCATGGTGGGTGTGAAAATGTTTGCAGTTTAGATCATTCTGTTGCGTTTATGGGTTGGTGAGTCTGTAATGACATCGCCACACTGGGCTGAGGTACGCTTTCTAGTTCCACCATTGTCCAAGTGGAGTGCCATTTCTTCTGATATGAAAGTGTTCAAATCGACATCATGGAGTCCATTTCTCCTTCGACTAGCATTCGATCCACTGCTTACATGTGTAGGAGAGCCTGGGGTACTCGAACGCACGCTTATACTAGCCATTGCACCACTAAGACCTAGGAAGAAGAAAAAAGGTTTTAGAGTTGCTCAATTATGGAACCCTCTCGAAAGCAACCCACTTTACGTTCAATGTCTCATAGGGTCAAAGGAGGTCTCCCTGTTTTCTTAAGGGGGTCACCAGGGAGCAGTTACGTTTTCTTCTGGAAAAAACAAACCGCTGGGCTTTTGACGGAGGAGAGGTTTCATTGGTAACACTACCAATATTTACAATATTGATAATTACCAATTACTAGAAGTGTATCAGGTTGCAAGCACCATGCCAGGTGTACACATTTATCACAAAACCCTCCCATCTACTCTACCAGTATGTATGTTACTTGTAGCTTATGGCTGAGGTCAGCAGGTGCTAGCTTTTAAACAGGACCATTTAGTTATGCAGTCACCATCCCCAACAGATCCTTCCAGTGTGTGTATGTGCACACAGGGGAGCAAGCAATCATCTCCAGGCCTGAGTGGGCTTCTTCCAACTACCCCTCCAGATGAGTTGACTTTATAATTTATCATCCAAAACAGTGCACTCTCGAGCCCAAAAAAGGGGTCACTATTAAAAACTATTCTGGGACATCAAGTACAAAGTCATTCTGCCCTTGGACAAATCAAGCTATATTGTCACCCAAGGTCTGGACTGTATTTGGTAGACGCTCCTTTGGACAGCCTAACTTATTACCATATATAATCCCTCAGAGGAGGGAACACAAAGATGGTATAAAAAAATCCTGCTGCTTTCAAGGTTGAATTAAATCCAGAATAAACCCAGCACTCATCGTTGGACACTCATTCCGTAGACTCTTGAATAGCTAAGGAGGCAAACATACGTTCCACTCTGAAATATACAGGATAAACCTGTGACATGCCTAAGGGAGGCAGGAATCGTTAACCACAGCGTTGAATTTGAAAACTTCACATCACCAACAGTGGCTGTGCCTTATGAACTTCCCTTTGTTATTCCAGCCTCATACGGGGATTTTGTTATTGCTGGACTAAATTTATAGAATAGGATCTCGCATAATCCATGTTCCCAAAGGAGAGAACTTAGATTTTAGAATAAGCTTACAAGTTGGCTTGGTAGGGGCCCATTCTTTCTAATTTTACATGCCCTGTAAATGTGATTGAAATTTGAACATTGAGAAAAAATTCTCTACTTTCTACCACATCAAATCTATTAATAAACTCCCTTCCACACGGTTCTTACGCGGCAGATCCTCAGAACGTGCTCAGCCCCGTGGCTTCAAGTCTCCCTTCATTAGGCTGATCCTATTCTGCAATCCAACTCCCTGTCGGGTACCCAGAAGCCCCCTCACTGTTCTCTCTGTGGAAGACATGTGCTCCCGCCCCGGTGGCGAGCAGAGGAAGGCTGATCACAAGCCCCTCTGTCGCTCCACACTGTTCCAAGGCTGGTGTCTATTTTTAAAAACATTTATAGAACAAAGGCACTAATCTTGGAGCACTTCCTGTGTTGGGCACTAGGTACTTTTAAATTTCATCCTCCAAATAATCCTACAACATCTGGATTACCAGGTTTGCAGATGAGAAACCAAGGTTAAAAGGTTAAGCAAGCGACCCAAGGTCACACAGCCAGTGAGCAAGAGCAGGGACTCAAACTCAAGCCCCAGGGAAGATTTCCCCTTCACCGTGACACTGCCCCTTCTTTAAAGTCAACATTTCAGTAGAAGTGGCCACAGCGTCTAAGGTCTGGCTTGCCTTAGGCTTCACTGAACAGGTAGTTCCTCCCTTCCTGCCCTCTGCGCTCGGCCTGGAGAGCGGATGTGCGCTACCAGAGCAAACGACCTGCGGTTCCTTCCGAGGGTTGGGCCTGCGCCTCCCTTCCAACATTTGCTCCTGCCGATGAGGCCCCTAGTTCCTTGGGCAGCTCCTCCCAGCGGAGGCTTCTTTCCTGGTTCTCCTACCTCTCTCTTGCTGGCTCCTCTTCCCTCCTGTTTGAAACTCTCCGCTCCTTCCTGATCTCCAGCCTGCCAGCTCCCTCCTCAGTCAATGGCCTCTGCAGGCTTCTCTTCTGCCCCTGATAGGCTGAGGTCACCCACAGTGGTGCCCTTGACCCCTCAGCTGACCTAGAGGCATCGTTTTCCACAGAAGCAGGCATTTCTCCTAAGCTCAAGGACCCATCCATATTTCTAACTGCCTGCTAGACATCTCCAGTGTTAACACCAAAAGGGTACTACGCTCCCTCCTCAGCCGGTTTACTAAACATAAAGGAAAAGGGAAAGACATCCCGGGCTCATCTTAATACAGCGCACTAGGATCCTTCGTCCCTTCCTGTCGACAGGGTCATTTCCTATCTACCTAATGCACATGGTGCCTGGCACAAAGCAGTCACCAAATTCTGAAAACAGCAGAGTGCTTCCAAGTCCTGCCCATTTTGAAACCCACTGAAATCCAAAGCTGCTGAGGTTCTTTCACCTCTCCAATGCCTGGAAACAAACCCAGGTGGCCCTCTTCTCTTAAATCTTTGCCATCAAGTTTTTTAAAAAGCTCAAATACTACGAAATTGCTGGCAATTTTTTCCCAGCTCTCCACCAGTTTGAGGGAAGAGCTGTGCTTTCTTTTTTCTAACGTAGCAGCCCGTAACAAACTACTAAAAGGTGTCCATGAACTTAGACAATAATCTTTTCCTAGCTGTTTCATAATGCAGGAAGTCCTGAGGTAATTACACTATAAAATGTGGGTCTTCGGCACGAAACTGGGCTACCTCAATAATTAAACTGAGGATCCCTTTATCATTTGAAACCAAAAGAAGTCCAACAATCCCCGCCCTTCCCGCCCCAGAAGCCCTCTTGTTAACATGGCAACATGTTTAACACCTAAGGACAAATACCCAAGGCTCACAGAATACTCCACCAGAAGAGAACAGGCACATCAAGCAAATACTTCTATTTTGTTTCCACCGCTATTCTCCATGAAAAAGAAGAGATATTAAGTTATCAATGTGGTCAATTTGAAAATTCCCCAGTAACTGCTAGAAAACAGCAATCTTTTCTCTGTTGGGTGTACAACTCAGGGGTTAGTTGGGAAGCTGAAGTCAAGTCACAATATGCCACATTACCTGCTTCCTATCTACTCTCAGCAGTGAAAATTCTTTTCCAATTTTAGCGATCTAAAATCTTTCCCAAAAAGACTTTTCGCAAGTGTCAAAAAAAAAAAAATTAAGATGAACAACCAAAAAATATATTATTTTAAACAGCCCAAATTTTATTTTATAAACCAATGACAGCTACTGGAAGATGCTTCAGGAAACCTTAGCTAAGCCACATGAACAATCAGGCCTATACAAGTACAGAGTCTCAACATGCTTCAGAACTAAAAAAAACTAAGTTGTACGGCCCAAGGGCATACAACTTAATTTCTACCAAAACACACTTTTTCAAAAGGGCTATGGGAATATCAATTGACAAAAGCAGCAGAACAAGTAGTATGATTAGACAGAAGAGTCTCAATTGCTTAATACAAGATTAAACTCAATCAGTTTTAAAGTTTCTGCATTCATTTTAAATGATTAGTGTAGGAGTAGGGGTAAAAAAAAAAAAAAAAGATTAGGATGATTTCATACTTTGAAAAGAAAGCTCGCACTGGAGCTAAAACAAAGGCACAGTCCAGGTTATAGGAATCTAGGTTACATGGTCAATTGTTAAAAGTAGCACATAACTATTATTTTCATACCAAGTTCATGCTTGAGATAGTTAAGAAAATCCTGTTTTCAGAATCAATTACATGTCATTCCAGTTTCCCAGCATGGAGTCAGGTCACAGGCACAGAAAGAGCAAGTGCAGAACCGGTTCACCTCCCTTCCTCTGTCGGCAGCCCGAGGCCTGGGGGCTGCATCTACACTGTCTACTCGCTCCCCAACCTCCTTCGGCCTGTGAGAGCAGAGGGCCAGCCCAGGAGGAGAAAATGCGGCTGTCATTACGGCTGATCCACTTAGCACAGGCTCAGGACCCTGGGCAGATCTGCTCCACCAGTTGTCCCATCTCCAATATGAAAATGGGGGGCGGGGGGGGACCTGAAATCCCCACCATTTGAACAGAGTGATAACTTCCTGACTGGAACACCAGGACACTGGCATTCTTGCATTTCAAATGAATCGCACTATTCAGTGGGTAGCGTTCCCTCTGCAGTGGTGTTCTGAGGTTTTAAGCAAGCAAGCACTGTGTGTAAAATGTTGTGTTTTAAAATGCACCAGGGAAGAAGTTCAAATCATTAAAAAAGGAATTCTACTAAGATTTTAGTAATTTGAAGTAGATACCACTCCCCACCCCAATATGTAAATTGTAATACTGAATTTTTATTGAAGTAAAGCACACTAAATCAAACCAGTTACAAAGATACATGTGTCACACCAAGAAAACATTTTCAGTTATGCTGACAGCCCAACGCTTTCAAATTTTTCAGACAGTTTTAATGCCATGGGAAAAATGCTCACGACGTTAAAATGAAAAAGGCAAGATACAGTACCATATATGCAGTATGATCTCAACTATGAAATAGTTTTAATATTTATACATTGAAAAAAAGACTGAAAGAAAATGCACCAAACATTTAACTGTAGTTATCTCTATATAGTGGGATAACAAGATATTGAGATTTTTTTACTTTTCGGAAATTTTCAAACTTTCCAAGAAACTGCTATTTATAAATCAGGAAACTAGTGGAAAAATTAAACTCAAATGTTAAAGTGCTTCGTAACTACCAGTAATACTAGGTGAGTAAACGGAATGAGGCATGGCTACATGGACTCCTTTTCACGTCAATGAAAAAATGTCCAACAAAATTGTACTGCAAGTTCAAAATCAATTTCGTATCACTGATGTTGGCAGCTTTACTTAAGTCCTACCCCAGAAACTTCAGCAGCTAATATCTAATCTTAATATACAGAAAATGCCACTTTTCATCAAAAATGTTAATGCTATGTTAACTGCCTTCATTGTTCTTGTTCTCAAAAGCTGGCTTGAACTAAGGCCATCATTTAGAAATTCCAGTCTGC